AGAGAGATTGGAGACACAGAGTAACCTGTTTGCACCCATGGGTCCCAGCCCCAGGCTGCAGCGCAATCTCATTGCTTTCAATGTGTACAAAACAATAAGCAAGCAGTCAAGCATTCCAAAGGGTGGGGGTGTAGTTAGGAAGCAAACAAAAACCGAAGGTGTGAAACTGAGTAGTCTTGTCTCTTTCCAGTCAGAAAGCATAGTCATGTAATTTCCCACTTAGCAACTGCTTCGCTTAGCGGAGTTGCTGCTCCCAATTAGGGTCATTAAGTGAGGGCTACCTGTAAACCTATGTTCCAGAAATTTAACCTGTACCATAACAAAAGCTTTTTCTACATCCTGTGAAGACACCACTGCCAGTTCAGGTTTCTCTTACTGTGTTTCTAAAATATTAATTCACATACTAATCTTATCCAAAGCTTGTCACTCTTTTATAAAACCAGGATGAATTATTGAGGTAATATACTTTGCAACCTTCAGTGTAAAGTTGTTACGTTTTTTGCATCAACATTTAACAAAGAAATTGTGGGGGGAAAAGTAATAGCGATAGCTTGCCTACTTCAGTATTAGTGTTATATAAGCCTTATGAAAAGAGGAAATAAAAATTTTATTCACAATAGCTTGTTTATATATCTCAGTCATATAGCAGCAAAAAAAAATCTTCATGTAACATCATTCTATAGGAAAACCATATGGGCCAGTTACCTCTTTGGTCATTGATTTAATCATACTTATTTCTATGATAATGGTGCTGTCAAGTCAGCAGTTTGATTTTGTGAGATCTTTGGGAGATTTTTTTCCCCCATGCAAAATATCTTCAATTTGTTCTTCAGAAACCATTGAATCAATGCTACAAACTTTGAATATAGGAATAATATTTTTTGCTGTTGTTTCAGTCTAATGGCTGCTAATCTAACCAGGTTTTTCACTTGGTTCTCAGTAGTTCTGTTATATATAATTGAATAGGTATTTAATATCTTAAGCATACAAATGACCCAGTTCCAATTTGGCAGATGTAAAAGCTTTATAACATTTTGAAGTAAGATTTCTTACATTAGTATTTAGAAGTTCTTTGACTTTTTTCACAGGTTGGGTTGAATTTTTTTCTTCCATGAAGAAAAAAATCTGACTTTGGATATCTGCCTTAAAAGCATTCCAAATGGTCAATAAAATTGGTTGCTTTAACTGGTTAACAAAAACCATTCATTCAGCATCCATTCAAA